AGACCTCCCCACCCCTCTGGAATTTCCAATTAAACTTGATACATTTCTTTACATTTTTGATCTTAGAGAACCCCACACCTCCCAGGAAATTCCGATCCCTTCTGTTGGGGGAGTATGGATATTTTCTGGTACTGAACATTACAAATTCATTATCATCCTAAAACCCACCCTCAAATTAAAGGAATCAGATCAAAAAAGAAGGTATTTGACAGTTTCCTTGAGTGTGCAACACCAAAACTCATAAGATTTCAATAATGGTATTTAATGACAATGATGATGATGTTGCTAGCAACAACCTCAATAATAGAAATGAGGATCAGAAGATGACAGCAATTGTGACAATAAAGAGCGTCTATTTTACTGAGATATATATGCACGTAAGAAAGACGAAAGAACTGGTGAACACAGCCACTGTAACCAGCTGTGGGTGAATTGATCTTTCAAAGTACAGTACGCTGCGAGTTACACCAGATCTTACCTTGTTTATACAAATAGTTACTGCAAGTCTTTCTTGAACAGCATGTTTAAGAAGTCGCTCTGTGTTCAACATCACCTGAGAAATAGAAATGATAAACGAATGCATGAGTGAGTATTTCAGTAGATAAAAGCTCTTGACCTGCCTGCATTACAACAATGTATGCAATCATGTGAATGCTACATGAACATCCACTTCTCTCTGCAATCAACCTAATTTACTTTGAATTCCAGTATAACAAAAATTTAAAAGAGACACAAAAGTCACTTACTCCTTCTGATGCATCAATAAAAATCATAACTCCATCACACAGTCTCAATGCCGCCGTGACCTCATCAGAGAAGTTTACATGCCCTGCAGAAATGCAAATTTCAAAGGAACAAAGGGAAGAAAAGGCTTAATCAATACAAATTGAACGTTTTTAGTTAAGGCACATGGGACAACTGTAATTGATTCAAAATTCCAAACACCATCACAGACTTTTCACATGTGAAATCAAGTTTAATTCTTTATCTCACAGGGCTTGACTCTCAGGAAAAAACCTTGGGGCCAGCTTTTCAGATTTAGTTACCAACAAAAGTATTTCAGTGAAAAGCGTGAAAAGTTAGTTGCCAGTGAAAAAAATTTGGTCGCGTTGGCAACCCCAGCAGTCACAATGTCAAGCTCTGTCTCATCCACAGGCAAAGCTTTAATCTAAAAAATAATCATCAAATTCTCCTCTGTTCTGTTTTACAACACATGTAGGTACTGCTGTCCATGATCTTACCTGGAGTATCAAAAACGTTGACCAGAAATGATTTCCCTTTGGTGTCTGGCAAAACGAGAGATACTGGAACACTCTTTATACTCAAACCTCGCTGAAAGGAAACAGTAATAAATCTTATGGTATTTGTATGCTTTGTTTTATTCAGTTGACACAAAAATTACGCAAAATGCACTTTTACTGCAGACAATATCTTACCTCTTGCTCAGTAAACAATGTATCTGTATAGCGAAGCTGTAAAGACAAAAAAGTTAAATATAACTTCATTCAGCAAACATTACTGTCAACAGGTGGTGAGATAACTTCTTACATGTACTGTACATATTAAATAAATAATAAATACATGTAAATAAACAATAAATTATATACATAGCAATTTGTGGTGGCACATCCCATGGAGAGGCACTTTGTCTACAGTTTCCAGATCAAAATTTTGACCTGTTGGTTTTTGTGGAGGGAGGAAAACTGAAGAACCCAGAGAAAAAATGTCAGAGCAAGGCAAGAACCAACAACAAACTCAACCCACTTGTGACACCAGGTCCAGGATTCAAACCCAGGCCACATTAGTTGAGGCAATCTCTCTCACCACTGTGCCCATACTGCTCCCTACAACATGTGGCAAGTTAACTTCTTACATTGTACTACAGTGTACATAAAATTTATTACTTATTTATACTTATTTTTAATAAGTAATGTAGCTCTGAGACTTACGTCAGTTCCTTCTTTTGCTTGGATGTCCTGGTGAGTTTGTTCAAAGAGGCAATCCACAAAAACAGACTACAAAGTCAAATCACAAAGAAAAACATTTTATTGTTGAAACTTTTATTCTTGAAACATTAAATGAAAGTACGTCAATTAACATAATTTTCAGCAACAAGTAATTGTAAAGTTACCTTCCCTGTGTGTAAATGCCCCGCCAAAGCAATATTTCTGATGAGAACTGGGTTGTCCATTAAATCTGCCAAATACCTACAACAAAACTGAATTTTAGATTCTCTGATGGACACCAGTAGCAGCTATAAATTATATGCAGTACATACTCAACATCATAAGTTGTCGTGGGAAGATCCTGCTCAGCATGAAAGAACTTCTTTTTTGCCACAGGTTTGATTATAGGTTCTGTGAAATGCAAGGCATGGAATACACACATTATTTACAATACCAAACACTTCTCAAAATACTAGCTGGTACGTTTAACATTAGGCATAGAAAGGTACAAAAAGTTGATAACTGATAATAATAATCAATCTTTATTTGTACTCACTCTTGCAAATTACAATTTCAACTGAATATTATTTTTCACAACAAATATGCCTAAACTTCAATGTACCAGTATAACTATTTTTTCATATATTCACATGTGACTAAGGCTAGGTTCATACTTGTCCAGACACTTGGTGCTCATTAAATGCTAATGCCTAGGCACCAGCCCAAAATAACATTGCATTCAGACACCAGGTACTCCAAGAACTCAAGCACCATTTAATGCCTGGGTACAAGGTGAAGAACATGTATCCAGGCATGTGCAATATGCCTGAATTCTGGAGTGAGTACTGAGGAAAATTTAGGTGTGTTCACATTAGTGCCTGGCAAGAATCTTGCATTGTACTCAGGCACCAAACTTGGGCACCAAGCTTGGACACCAAGTGTGAGCATACATGTACATGTAAAGTAACCTAAAGCAACTATAAAGCATTCTATGATTATCACTAATTTTGTAAATGGATTATAAACCTGTTAGAGGCTGTGTATCTTCCTCTTGTACAACAGTCTAAAAAATAGAACAATTACAATGAGATAATTACATAATGTATACATTTTTTTTTTTGACATTTCTAGCTACACTCGTATTAATTTAAGTGCCATTCTGCATGCTGATAGGATAATAGGATAACTTTGGCTCCTCTTACCTCGACCTCTGGTCCAAACACCTCTTCTGCAGTAGGGTAATACTTTTTATCCTGCAAACCAATAATATATGCACAAGATCAATCTTACACCTTCAGAGTACAAATAAGTGTTGCAGCTGTAAGAATTTTCAGAAATGTGATGTTGGTAAAGCTAAAGGCATCTTTAGTTAGTACTGATCAAATTCATGCTAAGGACCATGCAATCACACTTTAGACACACATACATATATATGAGACTTAGAGGAAAATACATAAAAATAGAAAACTGAACATTCAACTCTTTGGTGATCCAGAAACAACAACAAGTTACTCAACCGACTTATGACACCAGTTCCAAGATTCTAACCCAGGCTACACTGGTGGAAGGCATTCGTTTTCACCACTGCACCACCCCTGCCCCACATAAGGGTTTCAGTAAGCAGGTCATACAATACCCTCACCAAAATTGTTGAATCCGTACATCAGAGTACATTGCAGCTTGAGTCACTGACTGACATTTTTTATTTTTTTTTTTTTTTATTTCAACCGAGCAGCATACTGTAAACCATCATTTCTTTCCAGACTATGTTTTTTAGCACTAGAAACTGTACCTCATGAAGAACGACTTGCATTTGAGGCTCTTCGTCCTGGTCCATCTGTTCATCTTCATCATCTTCTGCCTGAAAGATGTTGATGTAAAAATTGTATCTCAAAGTCAAATGGAGTTACATCAACATGTAATAAACTTATCATTTTACACAGTAGCTAGCAGTAGAGTTAAATGACTTCATAACTATACATGTATACATTTCAAAGCCTGAAAGGACAACTTGATTCCGGAGTTCTAAGGGATACAAACTGGGAACTTGAGGTAGTGAGAACAAAGCCTTAGATCACGACACTTCCCGGTAGTTTTATCGACTTTGGTAAGTTCAGTTCAGCATGATTTCCAAAACGTTGTAACACTTTTGTGCTAGAACTAAACTGACTCAAGGCACTTGCTGCTGAGATCAAAATCTTGTTCTACGGTTTCAAAACACGTGTTAGAATACAGAAACGGCCCATGTGAGCGTCGTTTTACCGACGTTTCGAATGCGTTTCAAAGACAAGCCAAAAGAGAAGTTCACGATTTCACTGCAGTCCTTTTACGTTATGGGTTAATCAAAACCACTACACTTACATATTCTATGGCGTCCTCTTCATCAGCCTCCTCTTCTTCCTCGCTTTCTTCGTCGCTTTCAAGTTCAGGGCCAATGTAGTTTCCAAATTCATCATACAAATCGGCCTCCATTTTGGAAAACGTGCAGAGAACGCTCGGTGAAGCCTGGAACAAGATTTCTTTCTCTTCCCAGGGCTGCTCGAGTACATGAGCCCATAATACAGGGTCAGCGAGCAACCCCATTAGAGGAAGTTTTGCAATATGGCGGACAAAGTTTATCCACGTGTGTTTGAAATTCGATTTTCCGCGACTTGAAATTGCTTAACCATTGCAAGAAATTGAAATCATGGGTCGAATGAGGAAAAAGTATAACTGGAAGGCGAGACTGCAGCCAGAAACAGCAAAGGAAAGTGAGAAATCAACGCCATCGTTGGACCATAAAGATGTCATCGAAAAATCAACTAAAGATGAGGAATACAGCAAATCTCATGACGACACCAACATCCTTGTTACTTCAAGCAAGAAAAACAAAGTTAAGGTGACTCACAAGGATCCGAATGAGAAGCGAAAGAACCTCACCAAGAAGCAGCGTAAAAAGCTGGAGAAAATTGTGGAGACGAAACGAAAGAAAGCGAAGAGGGCAGAATTACTCAAAGCGCTTTCCGAGCATGCTGTAAGCGATAAAGAACTAGCTCAAATGAGTTCTACAACCGATCTTGGTCAGCTGAACATAACCAGGAAGCGGAAGTTGTCGGAAGATGACAGTCAAACAGACACGGTTGAAAGGGGTATTGTCTCTAGTATTCGCCGTGGCCGAAAGAAAGGAAAGAAACTTCGACTGGAGAAGAAAGCTCATGAATCTGTTCCTGCTAAGATCACTAAAGAGGCAGAGGAAGAATTCGACTCTGAAGAGTCGTCTGAAAGTGATGATGAGAATAGTAACAGTCAACGTTTGGCGGAGAAAAATCAGGGCATGGAAAGTATACATTCAAATAGAGATGTAGCAACTGAATGTACAGACAAAGAAAAGCTAAAGAGTGAGCTATCTGACTCTAGGAAAGCTTTCAAAGCCGGAGCGAATGAAGTCAAAGTCGAAAAATTTGTACAATCAAAAGATGAGACAGTTGCAAAGAATGTGGCGCCGACGAAACCGGAGTCTGAGCCAGCCATCTTTAAAGAAGTGAAAAGAGACCCGGAAATACAAGCCGCCAGGCTTCAACTTCCGATTCTCGCCGAAGAGCAGGCTGTCATGGAAGCGATTCATGACAACGACGTGGTGATTCTTTGCGGTGAGACCGGAAGTGGAAAGACCACGCAAGTGCCTCAGTTTCTTTACGAGGGCGGTTACACAACACGAGGATTGATTGGCGTGACAGAACCGCGGCGTGTGGCTGCCGTGACAATGTCACGCCGTGTTGCTCTGGAGCTGAATATGAGCACTGAGCTGGTTTCTTATCAGATTCGTTACGAAGGCAACGTAACCGAAAAGACCATCATGAAGTTCATGACAGATGGTGTGCTTCTCAAGGAAATCGAAAAGGACTTTTTCTTGTCAAAATACTCAGTCATTGTCATCGACGAAGCCCATGAACGCAGCGTATTCACAGATATTCTCATGGGTTTACTTTCCAGAATAGTCCCAATGCGTAAAAGCCAAGGAAAACAACTCAAACTGGTTATAATGTCCGCCACCCTCCGCGTGGAGGACTTTACAGGTAATGCGCGTCTGTTTCCCTCCCCACCTCCTGTAGTTACTGTCGAGTCCAGACAATTTCCTGTGACGGTCCATTTCAACAAGAGGACACCTGACGACTACTTAAATGAGGCGTTCCGCAAAGTGTGTAAAATTCACCGTACCCTACCACCCGGGGGAATTTTAGTTTTTGTGACTGGCCAGGCTGAAGTGCATGGACTGTGTAAGAAGCTGAAGAAGACATTTCCTCACAACTGGGAGACAACAAAATCAACGCGCGTCGCGAAGGAGAAGGTGAAGGATGAAAATTCCGATGATGATGTTGATGATGATTTTGATCTTGACAATTACCCCGTGAATCCAGCAGTGGAAGACAGAGACGCAGAAGACGAAGACCTCGGTGAAGATATCGCAAACAAGGGCGACGAGAGCAGTGGATTTGATCTCGACGACAGCGCGTTTACGTCATTGATCGACAAGAATCTTCCTATGTTCGTTCTGCCGTTGTATTCGCTTCTGTCGAGCCAGCAGCAAGCCAAAGTATTCCAGCCATCCCCAGAAGGGACGCGACTCTGTGTCGTAGCAACCAACGTGGCAGAAACATCGCTGACAATTCCCAACATCAAGTACGTGGTGGACACAGGTATGGTCAAGAGGCGCTACTACGATAAAGTCACTGGAGTGTCCTCGTTTAAAATCACGTGGACATCCAGGGCCTCAGCAGATCAGCGAGCGGGCAGAGCTGGTAGAGTGGAGCCTGGGCATTGCTATCGTTTGTATTCCTCAGCCGTGTTCACCAACGAGTTTGAAGAGTTCTCGGCTCCAGAGATCTCACGTAGGCCAGTTGACGATTTGGTTCTGCAGATGAAGGACATGAGTATCGACAAGGTTGTTAACTTTCCTTTCCCAACTCCGCCGGACGCGACAGCGCTGCAGAGCGCGGAGAAGCTGTTGTTGAATCTAGGCGCGCTAGAGGAGAGAAAAACGGTGAAAGGAAACGTCAACGCGGTCATCACTCCGTTGGGTCGTGCCATGGCCAAGTTTCCGGTTTCGCCAAGATACGCGAAGATGCTTTGCCTGGGGCATCAGGAAAGCTGCATGGAATACGTCATCGCTATTGTTTCCGCTCTCACGGTCAAAGAAATCTTCGCTGATGACAACGACAGAGAAGCTGGTCAAATAACCAAGGAGGATCGGCGGAAGATATCGCGGTTGCGTCGCACTTGGGCGGGGCAAGGTGATGCGCAGAAACTTGGTGACGCGATGGTTCTTTTGCGAGCTGTTGGAGCCAGCGAATACGCAGGCTGCACCGAAAAGTTCTGTTCAGAAAACGGGCTTCGTCATAAAGGGATGATAGAGATCAGAAAGCTTCGAGTGCAGCTCACAAACTCAGTGAATCTTGTGAATGCTGACGCAAGGGTGGTGGTTAATCCTCGAATGAGCCCACCATCCCCTGTCCAGTGTAAGGCCCTCCGACAGATCTGCCTCTCAGGCCTTGGCGACCATGTCGCTCGTAAGAGCCCCGCCGGAAATAACCCCCAGCTGAAGAACTCGTACAGTTGCATGTCCGTGGATGAGCCTGTTTTCATTCATCCCTCTTCCGCGCTGTTTGACGTGTTACCAGAGTTTGTGATTTACCAGGAAGTCGTGGAGACCTCAAAACTTTTTATAAAAGGTAAGGCTGTAGTACTGTGACGAGGGTAGTAAAAACAGTGACACTTTTCATGAAACATTTCTTAACTCTTCTGTTTTAGCGATATATGTTTAGTTTACATAAACTATTTGTCTATTCGCTCTACGCAGTGGAACCCCGACTGCCCTCGGGGAAATGGGAGGTGGCCGCTTAATAGCGGTTGGCTGCTACGTAAAGTTTCGTCAGAAATTAGCATCAGTCTTGGTAGGAACGTCAATTTATTCAAATACAAACATGCTTTAAGCCAATATGGAATCATTGGAAGACAATAATAAACGTGTCTTTGAATGTTCTTATCAGTGATCACTTCCAATCTCGGACTCTAGCTTAACTGTCATCGCTTTCTCCAAAAAAAATTCCAAACTACGTGTGTTAAATTTTGGTAAGTTAACAGGGGAAAGGACAGTAGAAAACTCTCAACGGGACGACCAAAAGGTGGCCCCTGCCGCTTAAAAGAGGTGACCGGTTAATAGGAGTTTTATTTACAGTATTTTACGGACAAAAATTTCAGGACTTTGATAACTGGTTGCTTAACAGGTGGCCGCTTATTGAGGTTCGACCGTAATGTGTATCTGCTGTTTTCTTCCTTGCAGGTGTTATCGCTGTTCAACCTGACTGGATTCCAGTGTTAGTTCCAAGTATGTGCACCTTCTCCAAGCCTTTAGAAGACCCTGCGCCTCGCTATGACTCCGAGGCTGGTGTTGTCAAGTGTCACATGACCTGTACGTTTGGACCCAAGTCCTGGCAAGTTCCGGCTCAAGAGCTTGAGTACCCGACAGGACTCGACAAATACAAGTGGTTTGGAAAATTTTTGCTTGAAGGAAGAGTGGTCGCAGCACTTTCAAAGTTTGTGCCTTTCCTGTTGGGAGCTCCTGTTACAATGATCAAGTCGTGGGCAAAGTTACAGCCGAGGACCGAAGTCTTATTGAGTGAACTTGTGAGCGGTAGTGCGAATAGCAAGATGGCGCTAATGGCAGCTTGGAAGAAAAACCCGAAGTTTCTACTGGCTGCGTTAAAGCAGTGGATTCCTGAGAGTAAACATGTTGAACTGACTTCGATGTGGCCGCCTAAAGAATGAAACTTCGTTGCCTTGAGCAAGAATGAGTCTTAGTTCTTGGCATTCACGAGAAAGAAACCTGTTCAGGTCGGAATGATGTCCACTGGAACCAACTCCCTGAGCCCGCCGTTTCCTTGGAGGTCAGCGTTGCTATGCAATGTATCGTGCAAATGGCGCCAAGATGATGTGGCATCTGTTGGAGTTTCTCAGTTTCTCGTCCTTCCTTAAGGAAGAAAAATTAATAGAAAACCCTTCGACTTCTAATACAAATAATTTCCCCAAAATGACACTGACTGTCACCTGTAAAATTTCACGAGACCACTACATAATTCTTTGAAACACACACAGCACAGTACTGAGGGAAAGCTCTCATTTATTTACAGTTTCGTTCGGCTCTTATTAAATACTTTAAACTTCTGCAGTTCCTTTGACTTCTGAGAAGTGTGAAGAATAGGAGACTTACTAAAATTACATCAGCTTTCGCTAAATAAACTCCACAATTTTGCTAAAAAAAACCTTTTCATATCTGGCTCGTTGAAAGCAGGCTAAAAGTGCACCTGTTTTTCATAACAAAACTCCTCTTAAAAGGCCCAGGCCAGTTCACTTTACAGCAGAGTGAAAAGAGGATATTTTGAACTTTGCTTCAACAAAAAGCTTTCTCACTAGGAACTTAGACAATAAGTGATAATCGTTTTAACGTGGGACATGGCTTGTATCCGGGGAGAGTGTTAGATCGTGACATCCGGGGAAGTTTGGAATCAGAACCGGGTAGCTTTTAAGAGAGATTTTGCGGTTTTAAAGATATAACTTAAACTGCTTATTACATTAACATCTTAGTAAAAATATCCAATGGTATTTTGTTATTTTCTGTAGGTCGCTTCTCCGTCTACAGGAGCTAAGTCGAAAAATAACCGTAATATATAAATAGAAAAATAGCTCTGATAATACACGGAAATAGCCAGCCTTGTCTTGTAATATTTACAATAAGAACTTCTTCATGCGGTTTTTCTTCCCTTAGTCGCATGCATCTACGCCCAATCCTGGTGTAGTCTTAATTTGGCAAGAGAGGTTGACATCTGACTTCTCTTAATAATTATCAATATATCGTTAAGGAGAAGCGTGTGGAGAATGAAAAAAAATCATCATCTAGGGTATTGTTGTCTTCAGTCTGGCTCATTGTTGTAGAAAACATAGGACACGTCACAACAGCACAACGCCTCACAAAGCTTTTTTTTTT